AAACAATGCCTTAGACATTATTTTGGATTTTTTCTCAAGAGGCTCATTTTTACACTGGCTGTTCGGCAAGAGTACCAGACCAGACAGCATACCCCAGCCTTTCCTACTTCACTCCAGCCTCTCAGTGCCGTGTACTCATCAGATTACGTTGCAGTCCCGAATGTGATTAGCATATCGGTAAAGAGCGATAGTCCACTGATGCGTGCCAACTGGCTTTGAGGTAGCCAGAAAGGGAGCGCTCCTGTGATGTTCTACAACATACACCCAGGAGGGTATCTCTCTGTTCATCCACGTCACCCTCACAGATGATGTGGATGAACTGATCTATGCTGCCACAGGAACTCTTCCCAACTTAACTTTTCACCCTCGCTACCAGATATGATTTGAGAGGCAGCACATGCAAAGAGTAGTGTTTGGAGGCACTACATAAGGCACCTGACTGCAGCCAACAAGCAGCTCCACCCGAGGGGCGTTTCAATTCGGAGATCCCGTACACCCTACCTGGAAGTCCGAAAAAAACGGAAATCCTTCAGAAATTCTTAGGAAATCCGAAAACCCTCAAGATACTCTTTAGAAATCCCTAAAATCTGAAAATCTCACAAATGTTTAATTCATAGCAATTTTTTACAAAATGCTGATGAAGTACTATAGATGTCTTTAAAGATCGGTAAAAAGTATATGTATGTCTGTGTGTGAGAGAGAGAGAGAGAGAGTACGTGTATATATATATATATATATATATATATATATATATATATATATATATATATATATATATATTATATATATATATATATATTATATATATATATGTATATATATGTATAAATATGTGTGTATGTGTGTGTGTATGTCTGTGTGTGTGAGAGAGATAGTACGTGCGTGTATATGTGAATGCTAATATATATATACACTATGCACATACAGGCTGTCTGTCTTCATGTATGCACACAGACGAGTGGGCTCTTCTTTCTTAGGCATATCTGAATTTTTTGAAAATGTATTAGAATTGGTAGACACGTTTCGAAATGGAAAATGTAACTAGGACAAAGAGAAATATTTTCTTGATTCCAACCACGAACACAATCTCAGCTATAAACACACAAAAGTATTTTTAAAAGACACATTCCATTCTGTCCAGAGATTAGAACAAACACAGGCATGCCACGGCATAAGAAACAACAAACACAGTTAATAAAACACTGTAATGGGAGTCCGGAATGTGTATAATCAATTTGCTAAATGTATCTGACGGTCAACTAGCGTGAATTCTCCCTATATCTCATGCTGGTCCATTGCTAGACCACACTGGCTTTGTTCCTCGTCAATCCTGAAGACTTTCTTGCAACTGGTAGGCTAAATCGAAGGCTTGTTTTCACAGACTGCTTCTTCTTCTTCTTCTTCTTCTTCTTCTTTTTATTATGAGCTATTCATTCCGAGACATGATACTATATTATGGTTTTCCGTTCGATATATGTGCTACAGGAATATGAACCATTTTTTTTCTTTTTTTTCTTCTTTTTATTATGAGCTATTCATTCCGAGACATGATACTATATTATGGTTTTCCGTTCGATAAATGAGTAAGAAAACCTTTTTACAGAAATGTCGGGGCTACTAGACCATTAGCTCTTAAAATTTGTGTAAGTAGACCATTGGCTACTTTTTTTTTCTTTCTTTTTTTACAGAAATGTCCATTAGCTCTTAAAATCTGTGTAAGTAGATATCACACTTTCATCATATTTTCTCTGAACATATAATTCTTCCTCTTGTTTATTATACGAACAGGTGAGTCTGTTTAAACCAACGAGGAAACGTATCGATGAATTGAATCCTTGTTGACAACACCAAATGCATCTTTTATGGAAGTCTACAACGTTCATATTACATATACATTGAAAATTTATCCTAGCCCTTTCAAATTGCATACAAAAAGACAAATTGAAAAAAAACAAATGTATATATATATATATATTGTGTATTATATACATATATATATCCATATATATTTATTACATATGCTGTTCATTTGTCTCTTTATATGTATATAATGTATGTATGTATAATACATATACATAGAGAAAGAGAGAGAGAGAGAAAGAGAGAGGACAGACAGACAAACGGACAGACAGAGAGTGAGAGAAAGAGGAACAAAGAGAGAGAGAGAAAACAAGAGAGAGATGGATGGAATTGGGTAGAGAAAGAGAGAGAGAGAAAAAAAAAGAAAGCAAACAATCATGCCATGCCAGCCATGTAAATCCAGAAAGCCCAAAAAAGAGACAACAGGAGATAAACGTGGAGAGAATAACAGGGAGAAAAGCAATTACAGCAAAAACGAAAAATTCTCCCATCGCATTCAGAATCAATGCGTTGATCCACTCCAAAACTTGCATGACAGCTGGTTGACAAATGTTATTTATCACTGCTAGCGCTTCGGACGACGCCCAACTCCTGATTTCTCTCGGGAAAGGTAGGATGCACTGACAAGAATAAATATCGT